GGGAAAAAGGGGGAGCGGTGGGACTTTTTGGAGTCTGTGGGGGGACAAAGAACTTTTTCCCCCTTGGGCCCAAAAAAAGGGAAGGGAAGAGATTTTGTTTTTTACCCCAAAACCCCCCCTTTTATGGGTGTGAAGCATGGGTGGGTGAAGTTGCATGGGAGGAAAAAGGCCCGAGGAGAGATGTCTTCTGAGGGCCCAATTTTTGGGGGGGTGTGAATAAATGGGAGGGGAATTTCTTAAAAGTTTGGGAAGTTAAAAAGGAAAAGGGGGTGGCCCCGGGAAATTAAACCCAAAAATGTTTGTCCAGGAAGGGGCCCGAGGAAGGGTTGTTGAAGGGGGATTTGGGAAAATGTAAGAGAGAATGGGAAACAAAAAAAAGAAAAGACTTCAAAGTGAATCCCTCCTGTAGTTGGAAAAAGGAAAAGGGGGGGTAGGGTCCGGGAGGAAAAGGTTTTGGAAGGGAAAGGGGGTTAAAAAAAGGAAAGGTTTTTTGGGTGCGAAGGGGGCCCTTTGGGACTTTTCCCCAAGGGAGGGCATGCGTGGGGGGCGGTGGTTTTTTTAAATAAAAGGGGTGAATGGGGACCCCAAAAGGGGGTTTTTAAAAATTGGGGCGTCCCCGGTTTTGGGGTGTGACAAAAGTAACATTTAAGAAGGGAAAAAAGGGAAAAACCCGGGAAGGGCCCTACTTGAAGTTTTGGGGATGGAAGTCCCCGGGGCCCTTTAAATCCGGGAAGGGGGGGGTTAAAAGTTGGGGAGTTTTAAAAACGTAGTGTATACAAACCCCTTCCCGGCAAGACAGTGGGTGGGTGAATGGAAAGGTGAAAATTTTTTTTTTTCGGCCAAACCCGCCTTTGGGAAACGGCCAGTCTGTTAAAAAAATAAATAAATACTTTTTTCTGATAAACTTCTTAGGGGAGTTCAAAAGAAAAATTGCAAAGGTTTTGTGGATGAGTTTGGGTTTGGGGTAAAAGGTAAAAGTGAAAAATAACAAAAGAAAAAAAGTAAAGGGGATGAAGGTATCCCAAAAGATTTAGATAAAGAAAAATTGGATTTTCAAAAAGGGGGGGAGGCAATATGGAAGAATTTAAATTTTTTTCAGATACTTGGGGGTTGACGTGTCCGGGGGATGGATTTATGAAGGATGAGGGTTAAACAAAGAAATTTATGAGGGAAAAAAGGGGGAGGGTGCATTGAGGTTTTATTTGGAGTCAAAAAACGTTATCTATGGAGGCAAAGAAGGAAGTTAAAAGTATAGTATACCAACACTCTTATATGGGGGGTGAAGCTTGGGTGGAAAATGCAGAGGAGGAGGGGTTTTGGAGCAGGGGAGATGTCCTGTCTAAGGGAAATTTGGGGGAAAAATATTATGCAGAAAATTCGGAGGGGGAAAAATTGGGAAAAAAGGTTGGAGTAAAAAAAAAGTATTAGTCAGAGGGCAAAGAGGGGTTGTTGAGGTGGTTTGGTCTTTTAGAGAGAATGGATCAAAGAAATACAGGGAAAAGAAAATTTAAATCTAAGGGAAGGAAGGCGGGGTGGGGTCGTCCCGAAAGGGTTGGAGAAGGGGGGTAAAGGAGGTTTTGTGGGCAAGGGGGTGGACTTCAAGCAAGCGTGCATGAGCTGTTGGATAGGAGTGAATGGAGACGAAGGGTACTTGGGCCCTGACGATCTTTTTGGAGTGTGAGCAGGTAATATTTTAGTGAAGGGTTGGGGGAAAGGTTATTTTCCCATATAGTGGGGGATTGAGTCCGGAAAATGGGAAGTAAATGCCTGCATTTTAAAGGGGGTTTTTGGGATATTGGCATTTTGGGGGGATAGGTTGGATCTTTTAACGTATTGTTCTAAACTGTTGTATTCTGACACCTCTGCAAAAACAGTGATAAATTTTGGAGTGTGGTAAGTTTGAATGATGAAAAAGCATTTTCTTTTGGGGTTTTTTCTTTCTTTTTTGGGCCACCCGCCTCGGGGGGAACGGCTGTTGTTAAAAAAAAAAAAATTTACTGCCTATTTTTTGTGTGTCTTGGTTTGATATTCACCTTATTCATAATAATCAACGTGATAGGTAAAAAACCCCCTATTGTTGTATTAGCATAAGAATAAAAATTTTGTCCGGCTGCTCTTCTTGCTTGTGTCAGCACTTCTACCCAGGGGGTTCTGTAATCAACATCACGCTTGTAATATTTTATTTTATTATTTTTTGTATTTATTTTTACTTTATTTTTATGCTGTTAAACTGTATTTCATTTGAAAAGGTTTAGGAGAAAACTGTCACACCACAATATTTGTTTATTTCCAAGAACATTTGCATACAAAACAATGTTTCAAATTTTCACTTCAAATGAAGAAATTTTCCTTGAATATCATCTTGAAATCTTAGCGAGAGTTTGAAAACAGTAAACCCGCCATCACATAACTGCTACTAAAAAAGGGACATGCCCAGGTTGGGGCCACAGGCACTAAAACATGCTTTCTAAAATCCATCCATTCTAAAAATTTGCTGAAAATTTTTTTTTGCTACCCAACCATAGTTTTGAAACCTTTTTTTTCTCGTGTCCGCTGACTTTCCCCCCCCATTTAATACAACTCCTCTACTTGTGTGGGCAAAACTTGTAAATAAAGGATACATTTACCCTGTTCCGCCCATGCATCTGGCAGCCCTGCGCCAGACAAAAACGGTAATAAGTTAAGGGGTCGTATGTCGCACAGTTTCATAAGTCAGAGGGTGGGATGGGGGGATACATCAAATTTGCACCGAAAATCACTCCCTTGAAAGCAAAAGACTTGGCAGGTGATGCATTCCCCCCAATGAAAAAAGGGGGCTACTACATGTAAAACAACACGGTAAGTGTCCCCGGGGCCCAAGACTGTTCAGGGGGCCCCCCCACTAAAAAAAGAGGGATTACCATAACCCCTGGCTTTCTTCAAGAAAGGCATTGGAAGGGCCCTAAATCGTATCTGATCACCCGGCTGTGGTTGACATCGGGTTTTGAGTGGCCATCAGTAACAGCCTCTGATCAGGCCCGTCCACCCTGAGGTCTGGTCACAGATGGGTGCAGGGGGATTGACCCCCGAAAAACCCCCTCCAGGGAATATGCCCCCCATAAATTGAAAGTGAGGAAGCCCTCTTTTTAAAATAACTACTGTACCATTAAATCCCCCTTTAAAGCTAGGGTTTTGGGAAACAGGAATTTGGCTTTAAAAGTTGGGTTTACAGTGCACTTTTTAAAGTAATACTCAAAAAGCAGTGGGGATTATTTTAACATTATATACTTTCGAGTTGGCCCAGTAACTAAGACTGGCTGTTCCTAAGTGCCTTTAGGCTTGTTTGGGGTGATTTTGTTTTGTGGCCCCGTGTGCCGTGTTCCAAATTTGTTGGGCATTTTTTTGGGATTTAAGAAAAATGCACAAGGAAAAATTGCTGACATGAGACAGTTTCGCAGATCATTGGTTTGATAAAACAGGCCACAAAAAAAGGAAAAGAAGAAGCCATGATTTTTGGGGATCCAGCAAAAACCCTGGTTTTTTTAGTCCTTGAGGGTGGTTTGATACAAGTCCACATAAAACCACCCAGGAAAACCTAAAATATGTCCCCCCTTAATGTTAACTAAATAACATACCCGGGGAAATCTTATCATTTTCCTGAACTTTCTGTCGTATGCAAGGTTTTGTGGGAAAACAGTGTTCCTTTCCCCACTGCAAAATCAGTTATTCATTGGGTTTGTGCTGCTGAAGTTCCCTTTCTTCAGTGACTGGGCAGGAAATTTCCCAAACTGGAACCCCATTGAAAACATCTGGGCTGTGATAGAGGGAGAGAGAGATCTACTAGGGAAAGAATGTTGGTCCACTTCACTGCTGTAGCATGCCATCCAAGAGTCATGGGGAAATTTGCCCCCATGAAACCCTGAAGAATGTGTGATAATCACTTCCTAGACAGTCGAAGGATGTCTGAAAGTGCAAAGGACAAGCTATTTTGTGGTTGTGGTTTTAAAGGAGGAGCTGGCTCACTTTAATAATGAACACTGTATATCCTGCAACTTAGTTACAGTAAATGCTCTCAGAGTTAATCTTGTCTCAACCTTCACTCTGTCTTCCTGTATTCAAATTATCATTATTTTGACTTACTTGATTTGTAATTGAGTATAGAGAGCATAACATACATATTAAAGTGCAGGTCGGCTATCACTAATCCAGCATCATTGGGACCTGTAGCGTGCCAGATTAGTAAGTTTGCCAGATTACAGAGTGGTTAGGTTAGAATACACTTAATTAGCCTATCAGTAGAGAGAGTTTCTGCTACATTTTCCTCATTTTCATAACTGCTTTCTCCTCCACTGGCTTGCTGCTGTGGATTTACAACCATCTGTACAATTTCTGTCAGTATAATGATGAAATTTGAGTCAGTATAATGATGAAATTTGAAATTATGGTAGCCGAAATTAGTGCCGGATTACTGATGGAACCGGATAACTGATTGCCGAATTAGTGATGGCCGACCTGTGCTACACTTATTAGGCATACATTGAGCATATTAGGTACACTGTTTTATAGAAATTGTAAAAGAATTTAGTGATACTACATTTAAAATGATATTTACTAAATACGAGTAGTGTGTATGTCAGGATTCTTCATAGTTTTCTATGTTTTGAATTAGTGTGAATGAGTTGTGAATGTTTTAAGCGGCTTTAGAACTTTCGGATTACTCAAGTGATCATATTTTGCACTAGAGAATTTAAGTATTTTAAGTAATGCAAGCATACAGATACACACATCCATATTCTACACAATTATGTCTGATTCTTACCTGGTGCAGGTGTGATGGCTCAGCAGGGCTAAGAGAGAGGGAGGGAGGAAGGTGCAACATAAAAAGATTTCCTTCCATGTCTAATTTCTTGTTTGTGTATGAATAATGCTTATCTTGACTTTGTACTAATAAAGTTTGCCTTTATATATTCTTGTTATTTAGCATTTATTGTATATGATTATTTTTTCTGTATCCTCATCAGGAGCTGAGCAATTTAATAGTGGTAATGGCTATGCCTCAACTTTTTGCTGGGCCGACTCTTACGTAGACTGCACACCTGTTGATACATGGGGGCGAAGAATGTGCCAAGTTACAGCTATAGATGCTCTTCACTTTACGAAACAGCCACAAGTACAGTACAGGCCAAGCTTTGTTATTAGAGAGCTCAATAAGGTAAAGTTGCAGTCTTGCAAGTGGTACTAGGAACAATTATATAGCATATAATGAATGGTTTTGGGGATCTGATGAGCAGTTGGAGCCTGAACAGGGTAATATTTTGTGAAGGGATTCAGGGAAACTGGTTAGCTGGACTTGAGTGTTGGAAGTGGGAAGTACAATGCCTGTACTTTAAAGGAGGAGTTTGGGATATTTTCAGTATGGAGGGACATCTAAACTGTTGTATCTGAGTGCCTCTGCAAAAACAGTGATTGTGTGTGAATGATTGTGAAAGTGTTTCTTTTTGGGTCATTCTGCCTTGATGGGAGACGGCCAACATGTTAAAAAAAATTACTTTAAAAAAATTATGAATGTTACATTATACATTTCATGCAGGAAATGTTAAGAACCATTCTTTACTCTCTCTTGGTAAAACCACTTTCCATTTTTCATACTAGCAGTATGTACTATGTTTGTATAATAGTAATTTTTTCATTGATTTATTTATGCATGTTTTTATCAAGTATTTTATTTTTATACATTTTTTGTCTTAAGCTAAATGGACTCTGTAGTAGGTTGGTAGACAGCAGCCGTCCAGGGAGGTATCACCATCTAGTCACATGAGCAGTAGCTAGAAAGTTGTTAAATATTTTGCACTGACAGGATAGGAATCTTTTCTTTCCATATTTTGAACATTGACAGTGACAGGTAACTCTTACAAAGTTATAATGGACTTACATTAAGTATACAGGAGGGCCCCGCTTCACAGCACTGCTAATACGGACATTTCAAATTACACCCAAAAATTTGTTTGTACGGCTCCTGATTTACTATTATGGTGTCCGCGTGCTACTCTACATCCACCACGAGCACCACATCTCTCTCTCTATTATGTCTAGAAACTTTCCAAAGTTTCAAGTGTTTTAAAGTTATTGTGTACTTCTTTTTTTTATTGTGTACTTCTTTTTTTTTTTTTAACACATCGGCTGTTTCCCACTGAGGCAGGGTGACCCAGAAAGAAAGAAAAACCCCGAAAGAAAGAAAAAACTTTCATCATTCAACACTTTCGCCATCACTCATACATAATCACTGTCTTTGCAGAGACACTCAGATACAACAGTTTAGATGTCCCTCCAAACTGCCAATATCCCAAACCCCTCCTTTAAAGTGCAGGCATTGTACTTCCCATTTCCAGGACTCAAGTCCAGATAACTGGTTTCCTTAAATTCCTTAACAAAATATTACCCTGCTCACACTCCAATAGCTTGTCAGGTCCCAAAATCCATTCGTCTCCATTCACTCCTATCTAACATGCTCACATATGCTTGCTGAAAGTCCAAGCCCTTCGCCCACAAAACCTCCTTTACCCCCTCCCTCCAATCTTTTCAAGGACGACCCCTACCCCACCTTCCTTCCCCAACAGATTTTTAGGCTCTAAAAGTCATTCTAATTTGTTCCATTCTCTCTGTATGACCAAACCACCTCAACAACCCCTCTTCAGCCCTCTGACTAATAAGAACATAAGAAAGAAGGAACACTGCAACAGGCCTGCTGGCCCATGCGGGGCAGATCCATGTTAACCGCCAGCTTAGACCAATGGCTCACTCAGTCAGGTCACCTCCACTTAAGGAAGGAGCACGGCTTCTGACCCAATAGAACCAGCTAGTCAGGTCCAACTCACACCCACCCACACCCATTGATGCATTTATCTAACCTATTTTTAAAACTACACAACGTCTTAGTTTCTATGGACGGTACTCGGGAGTTTGTTCCACTCATCCACAACTCTATTACCAAACCAGTGCTTTCCTATATCCTTCCTGAATCTGAATTTTTCCAGCCTTAAACCATTGCTGTGAGTCCAGTCTAGGCTAGATATTTTTAGCACGCTATTTACATCCAAGTGTTTACAGTGAAACATATAGGTGAACAGTATTTAGATAAGGCTAAAGAGGTTTTTGTGGCATTTATGGATTTGGAAAAGGTGTATGACAGGGTGGATAAGGGGGCAATGTGGCAGATGTTGCAGGTGTATAGTATAGGAGGTAGGTTACTGAAAGCAGTGAAGAGTTTTTATGAGGATAGTGAGGCTCAGGTTAGGTTATGTAGGAAAGAGGGAGATTATTTCCCAGTAAAAGTAGACCTTAGACAAGGATGTGTGATGTCACCGTAGTTGTTCAATTTATTTATAGATGGGGTTGTAAGAGAAGTGAGTGCGATGATACATGAAGAATAAAACAATAATAACATCACACTTACCTTTATTGTGGACTTGTTAATGAGTGCTGAGATGGGAGAAGGGCAAAGGATGAAGGTGTTCTATAGTTTGGAATGGGAATCCCCTTCCATAAAGACTTCAGGTAACAAGTCCTTTTCTGGCTTGTCCTGAGAGTGCCTTTTCCTCCTGAGTAATGTAGGTTCTGTTTGGCATTTTCTTCCTAAACAGGCCTGTTTTGTCACAATTGAACACGTGTTGGGGTTTTAATTTTTCAGCCTCTATGTACCCCTTAAAGTCCTGCACATATTTTTCATCTGCTTTTTTGTCAGAACTGGCAGCCTCACCATGCCTTATACCATGCCATACCACCATCACAACCACTACCACCCTCTACCACCACCACTACCACTCTACCACCATCGCTACCACCCTCTACCACCACCCTCTACCACCATCGCTACCACCCTCTACCACCACCACTTTCGTATTTTTCCACAAACTTTTTCTTAAATTATATGTGTTTTTTCATATTCTTTACCATAGGGCCGACACTAGAAGCTTTCTTGGGGCCTATTGTGGCTTATTTAGCAGTTACAAGCACCAAAAACAATGGAGTAATACAAAATATATCGCATGTACGCGCAGAAGCATTCTCACTGTCTTTGTAAACAATGGCACACTGGTTGGTACATGGAGTGAGTGGCCAAGCCTGTGCCGACACGTTCGGGACGAAAGCTCCTAACCGAGTTTTTAGGTGTTATCCAAGTAAATTTTTTTACGCCAAATTGAGGCATTATCCAATTTTGGCATTATCCGATTTTGGCGTTATCCGATGCCGCCGTTAACTGAGGGTCCACCATAATACAGGAACATAATATATACTCTAGATTGAATAAAATAGGCCATAATATGGTGGCAGAGGCAGTGGCGAAAGCGCTCGCCATTTTCTGTCCAACTTTGACTATACGTAGTATCTTCCTATGCCCTTATTGTAAGAGAAAATGGAGTATTTGTGAGGCTAACTGCAGAAATATTGTATATAAAAACAGAATGAAAAGAAATATTAAACTGTCTATATAAAATGTATATGTACTTACACACTTGGAGCAGAGATGGTGGGGGAGGCTGAGGGTGCAGCATATAATGTCAGTGGCCCTGTAAACCTCCAACAACATTGTTTTGTTTGATCACTGTACTTAACTGATACAGCTTTAGTATCTACATATTGTAGATGTACTAAGCTGATATTGCCTGGCTAAGTCCATGGAAATCATCCTCTTTTTCTTCTCGGCACTGTCCTTTGCACTTATTTTCTTAGGACCTGTGGGTAGAAAAAAGAAATTTGGCCAAATGACTGTAAAAAATGCAAGCACGAGAGAACTGCTCCCACAATGATGTGAACATGTGTACTGCTTACCGGATGTTTTGGTATCAGCTGTGCCAACTAGTGGCAGCATTCTGAATTATTATGTACGTATTATTATTATTATTATTATTATTATTATTATTATTATTATTATTATTATTATTAATTTAGGGAACTGAAGCTCTGTCATGATTATTATTATTATCATTATTAATTTAGGGAACTGGAGCACAGATTCAATTCCCTAAATCAAGAGCCCCTCACCAGCATCAGGAACCTTGATGCTGGTGAGGGGGCTCTTGATCTAGGGAATTGGATCTGTGCTCTAGTTACCTAAATTAATAAAAATAATAATAATGATGATAATTATTATTATTGTTATTTTTATAATGAACACTGCCAACTCAGTGCACTGTTTACCTCACTGTGGGAGCAGTTCTCTCATGCTTTGCTTACATTTTTGACAATCATTTGGCCAAATTTCATTTTCCTAAGCATGGGTCCTAAGAAAGTAAGTGTAAAGGACAATGCTGAGAAGAAAAAGAGGATGATTTCCATGGAATTAAAGCATGAAATCATAGATAAACAAGTGAGGTGTCCAGGTTTTGGGTTGAGGGGGAAGCAGGGGGAGCTGGCTCGTAACTCAGAATAAAAAATTGATTTAGGGATGGCTCGTATCTCAAAAATCTTGTATGTTGGGACACTTGTAAGTCAAGGTTCCACTGTATATGCAATCATAGTAAAACAAATTAACATTATTTGAGGTGTGGTATCCAGGCAGACTACCACACCTCTTGACTTCCTACAATAAATACTACTCACCTCTCACCCTACATTAAGACTACAATTATTTTAGGGAAAGTAATGAGTGTACTGTATATGCATTTTAGTTTTTTATTGTTTTTTATTCCTAGTTCTATTGCCAACTTAATATATGATAGTGTAAACATGTTATCAGGCATTTATATGCATTGAAAAGTGAAAAAAGGGGGATTCCTTTTATGATGATTTTTGCTTTACAGCAGTAGCCTGGACCCGAACCTGCTGTATAAGCAGTGCCCTCCTGTATACTTATTTTTACTTGTGTTTCCTGAAGGTTCTTATTTCTTCAATAACTCCTTTCCAATTTAGGAGGCTTCTTCTGAGACTAATCCATGGGGGTGATCCCTGGAACCATTAACAGGCAATAAATAATCCCTTTACTGTATAATCCTGTTGTTCTTGTTGCTGAACTGATTTGTAACCTACATTTTGCATTTTTTACGTTATGTAGTGCACAGAGTGAAGCCTTGATGTCTCCAAACCAGTGTATAAAATCCTTTATCAAATTTTTTTTTGTTCTGCAAATGATTCTAGTCTACCATCTAACCAAAAGAGGGTTCATTTTGAGAAAATGGAATCAAAGTAATTAATATCCACACTCACATGCAATTACTGTAATGGCTGTTTCATGTGCTATTTTTTCAGGCATATGCTGGTTTTCGTGTTCTGGACAGGAGTAATGGAGTTGCTGTTGGTGTCGCTACTGGAAACTGGGGGTGTGGAGCTTTCAGAGGAGATCCACGTCTCAAGGTAACTACATGCCTAGTCTACATCAGTTGCCATTTACCCTGTAATTAATAGCCAGTAAGATAAAGAAGAAAGTTAATGTATTTATAAGTTGAGTTACCTTGTATTGTTTATTAGAGAATGTATATATAAAATACTGTACCATAATGTGAACACATTTAGTAATTCTCATTTTTAGAATTTTTTTTTTTCAGTCGCTGATTCAACTGGCTGTATGCGGTTACACTGGACGTGACATTGCTTATTTCACCTTTGGGGATGAAAAACTTCGGAATGACCTTGCTACTATGTATATCTTTTTGAAGGAAAACAATGTTACAGTAGGTGTGTGTACTTTTTTAGCTTTAGTTGAAGTTATTGCTACTTATGTTCATATCTTTCCAAATGGTTCACAAATATATCCATTTGTCCTATATTTTTTGTGTAAAACCATAACAGAAATACAAACAGATTGAAAACTTTTTGAGTTCAATAATGTTGAAACCAGTTAGCCAGACTTGAGTCCCAGAGGTGGGAAGTACAATGCCTGCACTTTAGAGGAGGGGTTTGGGATATCGACTAGTCGGAGTGGCATCTAAACTGTTGTATCTTGGTGCCTCAGCAAAGACTAATTATGTGTGAATGATGGTGAAACTTTTTTTTGGGGGGGGAGGGGAGGGAGGGGGGTATCACCCTGCCTCGGTGGAAGACAGCCGATGTGCCGAAAAAAAAAATGTAACAGAATGGTGATAATGTAATACTGTATCATATTGTGCTGTTTTTTTTTTTTTTTTTTCTGTGGTCAGGTTCCATGAACCACTTATTGTGCTTTACAGACATGCCTGATGAACATTCTTAAAATTCTAGGTATATTACTAGTGACAATTAGTATTTATGCTGTGTAGTATTATTTAAATGACTTCTCACATTTTGAAGAAGGTGTTCTGCCTTTTTCTTCTCTTGGTTTTGATGCTTTTTACCAGATTATAATTACAGTGGACCCCTGCTTAACGATCACCTCCCAGTGCGACCAATTATGCAAGTGTATTTATGTAAGCGCTTTTGTACGTGTATGTTTGGGGGTCTGAAATGGACTAATCTACTTCACAATATTCCTTATGGGAACAAATTCGGTCAGTACTGGCACCTGAACATACTTCTGGAATGAAAAAATATCATTAACCGGGGGTCCACTGTATAAGCAAAATTAGTTATTCATGTTGGACTTTTTTTTTTTTTTTTGCTCATTATTTGGTTCATTTCTTTCTCTGTCCAGGAGAATTAGTTCAGGTGCTGCTCCACCATGGGTCACGGGAGTGGTCTGATGGCTCTGATTTTTTCCAGTACATCTATCATAACCTTAGGGCTTATGAGTCAGAAACAGACGATGAAACGGAGGAATCTGCTGGCAAGTATTTGAAGAACGTCAGGTTGATTTAAGATAAATTATTTTATTATTTAATTTGAATTCCTTATGGATTTATAAAATGAAAAGTAGTTATGTTAAGTTTTAATTATATAGTTTCTGGATAGTTATATTAATAATCATCTTTCATGACAAGTCAGTTCAGAATAGCTAAAAGAGAATGCATGTTACATTCTTATTAACTTTTTTCATTCTTAGCTTATTCAGCAAAAATCACATAAATGAGCTTTAGTATTTCAAAATATAGTATCTTAAAAGTGACAACAATTTCCTTGCTTTCTCATTTCCAATACAGTCATGTAGTTGATTAACAAGAGAACCCTCCTAGCCTATCCCACCAGCAATAATAATAATCAAATTAAGCACTAAACCTGTAAGTATCCTACCAGTAAAAAATTACACTTTCATTGTTTGAATTTGGTTAAAAATTCAGACAACTGGATCCAGTTGGTGTATTGTGGACAATAGTGAAGATAAGACATTGTATGTAGAAGAGCTTTATTGGGACCACGTTTTGATCTGTTAAGATTTTCGTTGTCATTCAGTTTTTATCAAGTCATATGTTTTATTTAATCATAGGAAAGCGCAAAACCCACTGAAGTTGTATAGTGCCTGAGGATGGAAGGCATTCAGGTTTGATTTGAGGAAGGAGAGGGCAAGTCTAATTCCTTGAATCAAGAGCTTCTTGCTGGCATCAAGGCACCTCCCTTGACAGGATCAAGTCACAGAGGGCATAAACTGCATGTATGCATTAGTGCATTTTGTATCCTCTGTATAACTTCATATGTGGTCCCAATAAAAGCTTTTTGTATCAAAACAATTACAACTTTTCTTATTAACAAATTTTTTTTTTTTTAAATTTTGCACCTGTTGACTTAGATATGATTATAATTAAGACCAAGTGCCAAACCCACAAGGGTCATACAGGACTAGGTCTTAAAATAGCTATTATCTTTTCTTAGAATATTTTTATTTGGAAAGGCAATAAGCATAATATTGATTATATTAGAATTTTTACCAAAGAAGTAAAAGGGTTATCCTGACTTTCATTGATAGTTCAATGTGGTAAAGAACAGGCACAGTACCATGGCTATAACAATGCACAAATAGTCCACATAAAAGACAAACCCATGCTGATGTTTTGGTCTGGCTCGAACCATTAACAAGTAACACAGAAGTGCAGAGGGAAGGGAGGCATTATATATGGGGGGTGAGAGTCAGAAGTAGTGGAACAAGAGGAGGAAGTAGTATAGTAGTGCAACAGTGGCAGGGAGTGGGAATGGTAATAAGGTACAAGTATTGTTAATGAAACTAAGGTCAGAGTGGAGTGTTTCAAATCAATGTAGTAATAGTGGAGGTAGTCTGTGATACTACCTCCACTATTACTACTGTTGCTTGGTTAACACTCCTCTCTCTGACCCTTGTTTCACCAATACTACTCCCTTCTTATTACCCCCTTTGCTGCTGTTACACTGCTAATACTGTACTCATTACTGCTATTATAGTTCCTCTTGTGCCACTACTCCCAGCCCCGCATCCCCCCTTCCCTCTCGTATATATATATGCCCCCCTTTCCTTATTTCTTCTGTGTAACTAGTTAACAGGCCAAGCCAGACCAAAATGTCATCATAAGTTTGTCTCCAGTGTGCAGTTATTTGTGGCAATGCATTAGAACACACACTGCCAGTTTGTAGGATGGAAACCACATCAAAAAGACAATCTGGGATCCTGTTAGAAATTGATAAAATGCTAAATGGATAAATATTACTCTATTAACTTGAGTTCCTTCATTGGATTTTCACTTGAAAAAATTGATGACCTGCTTTTATCATTTATGTCTGCACTTCTGTTTCAAATAATACTGTTCTTACTTTTTTGTTTTCTCATTTTCTATATTTTATTTTGCCATGTGTGTGCCTCCATAGACAAAGCTCATTCTTTTCATACATCCTTATATCTCAGTGGCTGTAAGTGTTGACATCTTCACATATGCAAGTCAGATCATTATACTGATGGAATTTTTGGCCAGTTGTTTCAAATTTTCTTTTAGAAGCAGATATATAGTATGCAAGTTTAAGAATTCAGACTACTGATGATGAATTTTTCTTTTCTTTTAGGATGTAACATTTAATACTTTTTTTTTTTTTTTACTGTATTTGTAGATCAAGATGTAGATAAAAAGAGAGAGGAACGAACTGTTGATAGTTCACATACCACCACCAAGACACCAAAGAACATTGCAGACTACTTCAAAAAGACTGTCAAAACAAGCCTACCATCTGCCTCACCATCTCTTAGTAGTTCACTTTGTCATGCCTCTACTAGTCAACAATCAGCATATAATGTAAATGCAGTTGAAAAATCAAGAAAAGAGAGTCTTTCTGAGGATAAGATTTTGCAAGTCTTAACAGAGTGTGATCGTCTGGTAGGAGGCCAGTTGGTGAAAAGCCATGAAACTTCAAATTCAAAATCAGCTGCTAAAACACGCAAACTCATGGATCAGGACCGAGATGCTGGTAGTACAGAGAACTCTAGAAATTGTAAGAGAGATGTAAATGGGAGAGAGAGAGAGAAAAATGAAGAGAAAAAGAATACAGTGTCTACAAATTCTGGTGAACCAAGTAGACTATTGTCATTTTTGGATGATATAGACAAAAGTTTGGCATCATAGGTACAAATATATCTCCAATGCTGTATATTTTGTATATGATATGTGTAAATGAAATTAAATTATATACTTTTAACAACAGTTAGAGAATGGTATTTTTTAAATTTTGGGGGGATGGTCAAATAATAGTATTGTAATTTAGTACAGCATGACCCCCGTATCCACGGGGGATGCATTCCAAGGACCTGCCATGGATACTGAAACCGTGGATAGTAGCGAACCCTATATATAAAGTTTGATATATTGTGCACAATAAGTAGAGAATTGTTACTTCACTGATGGGAAGCACATTACGGTTTCTCTTAGACTTTGAAGAACTTCCACCATCACTACTTTTGCACTTTGAAGCCATTATTAAGCAGAATTATTTTTGGGCCATAGTAAACATTGGATAACTGAATCTGCATATACTGGACCCATGGATACGAGGATCCTGCTATATATTATTTGCATTTTTTTACTCTTATTTTTTTATATTTCAATAATTTAGAGAAAATAAAGTTTGTTTTTGCTAAAAAGTAAAGGGTTTGTAGTTACAGAAATGTACGAGGAAATGATATTAATATCTTCACTTCATGCTGACTTATCACCCAGTGATTACTTTTCCGATTTGATATGCTGCAGCTTTAAAAAGAACTTTAAAACAGTTATCAGTAATACTGGCACCCTTGGGACCAAGACCATCCCAGTGTGTACAGATGCTACCCTACTTATGAACATTTGGACATACGAACAGCCTGCCATGTTAAAGTTTCATTTGGGACCACAATATCAAGAGATTCTCAAAGGTTTCAACTAGTGTTAACAATTCTATCTTGTGCTACCTTCTTTTATACGACAAGAAGAGAAAAAACGGTGCAAACTTTCTTAGACAAATTCTTCAGACCAGTGCCTTCTAACTCAATAGCCTCTTCAGGTGTTGAAGAAACCCAGGCTTATGAAACCCTGAGTTACGAAGCATTTGATGATGATGAAGTGTATGAGGTTGACGATCCTCTCCTTCAGTAGCCCCACACAACGTCTGATCTTTGTCTCATCCATCACCAAGTTTATTGTACCAATTAAAAAGGTAATTAGTTTTTTATAACAGTATTGATTATAAAATATGCATTAGTACATGTATTGAGAACTGTACATTACTGATACTGTACAGTATTTTCAACAAACAACAGTGCAGAGAGAGAACAATAATAATAATGATAATATTAAAAACAAATCATAATAGAAAAATGGCAAAATAACGACTTACGAACAATTCAAGATCACGAACAGCCTTCTGGAATGTAACTTGTTTGTAAGTTGGGGGGGCGTCTGTATAATGCAATGTAGATGTACTGGTATCTCGGGTACCATCCTGCTTTAATAATTTTGGTACCATGTTCCAAGTATTCAATTTCTGTTAAATTTAATGCAGCATGTATTTATGTAGTAAATATAAAAGATGTACTTAAAATATTAAGCAGTAAATAAAATTAGGCAATCCCAGAATATTGAATTTAAAAAAAAAAAAAAGTGGACCCCTAGTTATTAAATTGTACATGATGGCGAGTGTTCTGAAGAGACATGTTGGACAAATAGTGGTTTCTGACAGTAATCTATCACGGCCATTACTGGTGTCTTAAAAAAAAAAAAAAAAAAAAAAAATTTAATCTGCTCTGTCACTGCCGTAAAGCACGGTATGACCCATACAACTTTCAAGTGCCTATTCTTTTTGGTTTAATAGGTATTACACTGGTTATAGTGAAGGACATTTTGTGAAAAGTATAAGATTAATCTAACTTCCATTAATACATTGTTTACACTTTTAGTTACAGGTTGTGCTGCTAAATACTGTAACTTTTATATCTCCAGACAGCTTTTGCTAAGCACTTGACATGTTGTTATAGTGATGTAGTAGTTATCGCACATCACAAGTTGGTACAAACCTGAAGAAAGGATGAATTACTGGGCAAGCCATGTGTCTACATTGAAGATTTATGGACGTACAACTCATAAATCAACTATGAATAACAATCATTATAAGCCTTAAGAAATTTATACCGCAGTGGCAAACTTTAATATTGCCCTTAGATTTTTGGAATGGTTGATACAGTTCAGTGTGTTTATGAAAGAAGGGAAGGTATCCAAGATTGGCAGAGAGCATGTGTAGTCTCAGCTGCAGATACAATCTGGTGGCAAATAGAACAGTGTATCAATTGTAATCATTACCCTCTCAGCTGATGTTCCACCCTCAACATCCCCCTATGACTTAAGTTTAGCTCATTCCATAATTTATATATTATTTATATGTTATTTATATGTTATTTTCATATAGTCGGACTTGAGTCCTGGAAATGGGAAGTACAATGCCTGCACTTTAAAGGAGGGGTTTGGGATATTGGCAGTTTGGAGGGATATGTTGTGTATCTTTATATGTGTATGCTTCTAGACTGTTGTATTCTGAGCACTTCTGCAAAAACAGTGATAATGTGCGAGTGTGGTGAAAGTGTTGAATGATGATGAAAGTATTTTCTTTTTGGGGATTTTCTTTCTTTTTTGGGTCACCCTGCCTCGGTGGGAGACGGCCGACTTGTTGAAAAAAAAAAAAAAATATATTATATATATATATATATATACAGTGGACCCCCGGTTAACGAACTTTTTTCATTCCAGTAGTATGTTCAGGTGCCAGTACTGACCGAATTTTTTCCCATAAGGAATATTGTGAAGTAGATTAGTCCATTTCAGACCCCCAAACATACACGTACAAACGCACTTACATAAATACACTTACATAATTGGTCGCATTGGGAGGTGATCGTTAAGCGGGGGTCCACTGTATATATATATATATGTCGTGCCGAATATGTAAAACTGGTCAATTAGCAAGAACTCATTTAAAATTAAGTCCTTTCTAAAATTTTCTCTTATACGTTTAAAGATATATTTTTTTCATTAATATTAATGTAAAAAAATTTAATTTTGCACCAAAAGAATCTTAGAAAACTTACCTAACCTTATTATAACAAGAGCAATTTATTTTAGCCTAACTCAACTAAATATATTTTAAATTTGTTAACAATAATTTAATACTAAACAAACCCAGTGAAATATATTTTTTTCGTTAGGTTCAGAATGATTTTGGCGAAATTATTGCATACACAAATTTTCACTTGGCTTATATGGCAAGATGAACGTTGCTATTTAAGCCAAGATTGCAAGTTCTGCCTATTCGGCACGACATTATATATATATATATATATATATATTATATATATATATATATATATATATATATATAAACTAAGGGAGGAGGAAGTTCGGGTGAGATATAAGCGACTATTGGCAGAAAGGTGGGCTAGTGCAAAGATGAGTAGTGGGGGGAGGGGGGGTTAAGAGGGTTGGAGTTTAAAAATGCAGTATATGGAGAGTAAAAGAAAAGGTGAAGAGAGTGGGAGAGTGCAAGAAGGAGAGCAGATGACAGAGTGGGAGAGGCACTGTCAAGAAATTTTTAATAAAAATAAGAAAAATTTTTGGAGTTAAACAAGTTAAGAAAGCCTAGGGAATATATGGATTTGTCAGTTAAAAACAGAGTAGGGGAGTTAGTAGATAGGGAGAGGGAGGTATTCGGTAGATGGCGAGAATATTTTGAGGAACTTTTTAAATGTTGAGGAAGAAAGGGAGGTGGTAATTTCATGCACTGGCCAGGGAGGTATACCATCTTTTAGGAGTGAAGAAGAGCAGAATGTAAGTGTGGGGGAGGTACGTGAGGCATTACGTAGAATGAAAGGGGGTAAAGCAGCTGGAACTGATGGGATCATGACAGAAATGTTAAAAGCAGGGGGGATATAGTGTTGGAGTGATTGGTACTTTTGTTTAATAAATGTATGAAAGAGGGGAAGGTACCTAGGGATTGGCAGAGAGCATGTATAGTCCCTTTATATAAAGGGAAGGGGGACAAAAGAGACTGTAAAAAATTTTGAGGAATAAGTTTATTGAGTATACCAGGAAAAGCGTACGGTAGGGTTATTATTGAAAGAATTAGAGGTAAGACAGAATGTAGGATTGCGGATGAGCAAGGAGGTTTCAGTGGGTAGGGGATGTGTAGATCAAGTGTTTACACTGAAGTATATATGTGAACAATATTTAGATAAAGGTAGGGAAGTTTTTATTGCATTTATGGATTTAGAAAAGGCATATGATAGAGTGGATAGGGGAGCAATGTGGCAGATGTTGCAAGTATATGGAATAGGTGGTAAATTACTAAATGCTGTAGAGAGTTTTTATGAGGATAGTGAGGTTCAGGTTAGGGTGTGTAGAAGAGAGGGAGACTGCTTCCCGGGGATGTGTAATGTCACCATGGTTGTTTAATATATTTATAGATGGGGTTGTAAAAGAAGTAAATGCTAGGGTGTTCGGGAGAGGGGTGGGATTATATTATGGGGAATCAAAAACAAAATGGGAATTGACACAGTTACTTTTTGCTGATGATAGTGTGCTTAGGGGAGATTCTAAAGAAAAATTGCAAAGGTTAGTGGATGAGTTTGGGAGTGTGTGTAAAGGTAGAAAGTTGAAAGTGAACATAGAAAAGAGTAAGGTGATGAGGGTATCAAATGATTTAGATAAAGAAAAATTGGATATCAAATTGGGGAGGAGGAGTATGGAAGAAGTGAATGTTTTCAGATACTTGGGAGTTGATGTGTCGGCGGATAGATTTATGAAGGATGAGGTTAATCATAGAATTGATGAAGGAAAAAAGGTGAGTGGTGTGTTGAGGTGTATGTGGAGTCAAAAAACGTTATCTATGGAGGCAAAGAAGGGAATGTATGAAAGTATAGTAGTACCAACACTTATATGGGTGAAGCTTGGGTTGTGAATGCAGCAGCGAGGAGGCTGTTGGAGGCAGTGGAGATGTCCTGTCTAAGGGCAATGTGTGGTGTAAATATGCAGAAAATTTGGAGTGTGGAAATTAGGAGAAGGTGTGGAGTTAATAAAAGTATTAGTCAGAGGGCTGGTTGAGGTGGTTTGGTCATTTAGAGAGAATGGATCAAAGTAGAATGACATGGAGAGCATTTAAATCTGTAGGAGAAGGAAGGCGGGGTAGGGGTTGTCCTCGAAAAGGTTGGAAGGAAGAGGTAAGGGAGGTTTCGTGGGCAAGGGGCTTGGACTTCCAACAGGCGTGCATGAGCGTGTTCGATAGGAGTGAATGGAGACGAATGGTATTTGGGACCTGACGATCTGTTGGAGTGTGAGCAGGGTAATATTTAGTGAAGGGATTCAGGGAAACCGGTTATTTTTATATAGCCGGACTTGAGTCCTGGAAATGGGAAGTACAATGCCTGCACTCTAAAGGAGGAGTTTTGGGATATTGGCAGTTTGGAGGGATATGTTGTGTATCTTTATACGTATATGCTTCTAAACTGTTGTGTTTTGAGCACCTCTGCAAAAACAGTGATTATGTGTGAGTGAGGTGAAAGTGTTGAATGATGAAAGTATTTTCTTTTTGGGGATTTTTTTTTCTTTTTGGGTCACCCTGCCTCGGTGGGAGACGGCCGACTTGTTGGGGGGAAAAAAAAAAAATATACAGTGGACCCCCGGCTTACGATATTATTCCATTCCAGAAGTATGTTCAGGTGCCATTACTGAATGAATTTGGTCCCATAAGGAATATTGTGAATTAGATTAGTCCATTTCAGACCCCCAAACATACACGTACAAACGCACTTACATAAATACACTTACATAATTGGTCGCAGTGGGAGCTGATCGTAAAGCGGGGGTCCACCATATATATATATATATATATATATATATATATACATGTACGTAATTGAAAATGAGGGGAATGAAAGCTGCAGGAGTGGTCACAAATCTGTGGAAAAATTTTTTGTTACTGGATGTAAAATGGGAAATGGAATATGTACATCAGTTTAGTTTTGCTACACTTCTTTGGGTGTGAATGTTGAGATTGGAGTAATTGAAGTTGATTTTTGTCATAAACAGTCACCAAACTCAGATCCTTGTCATAAGATGACCTGTTCATTGATGCTGCCATTATGGCACTATATGAGGACATGTGAAAGTGGATTATTGTAATAAAAAAAGAAGCACTAATCCTATAAGGGTCATACAGCACAGTGTGAAGGTGAAGATGGGTTAGCCATTTGCTCTGTGGTGGACCATGGAAGCAACAGCTGCTAGTTTACCTGTGGTGGACTGAAGCTACTAGGAGGAGGCTGTAAACACGAAATGCCTTGACTGTGATCATCGTTTAGTGTGAGAGAGGAATGAAAACATTAGTAGTTTTTGTGGTATGGAAAGCTCCATGTAATTTACCGAGCTTGTATATTTTTTATGTTGATTGCTTTTAGATGTTTGGTCATGCAGGAATGGAACAAAATAGGATGGTTAAGAGTGGATGAAAGGAGTTTTAAAGGTTAAATCCAAGGAAGGGCCGGAGGAGGGTGTAAAAAAAGTATTTAGAAGTAGGGGCTAGAACATCTTGTGTTCATATGCAAAGCTATTAGTTCTATGGGATTTGGTATGTTGTGAATGCTGATAATACAGGGATTCAGGAAAACAGGTTAACAAGATTTAAGTTTTGGAGTCTAATTGCAAAGCTTATACTCTGCAAGTCAGATGGGGATGTTGCTGTTGTGGAACATGATTCTTTTATTTAGGTGCCTAGATACTGGTGAAGTGCTCTTGACCCAAGGATAGGGAACTAACTCCCCTTGGATTGGAACTGATTGCCTTTCATTCCCCAGGTAATGTGTGACCCTTATGGGTCTAGCACTACCCATTTGAAGGTATGAACATATGTAATTTAATGTAGATCATGATTTTATGCCTTTCTAGAAAAACAACTAGGAAGCTATGGTGAGAAATTGGGATACATGCAAAATTGATGCCACTTGTTCATCTTTATCACAAATATCTGTTCAGCTTAATCTGTTTACACCTGTTATAGATTATTAACATTATAGGTTACACTTTGTGCTTTCTGTCAAAAAGTGATAATCTGAAAGATGTTCATGCAAAAATGTATTTATACTTAAGAAGCTATATTATGCTTATAGGTAGATTGTATTTCGGCTCAAACCAGCATTTAGGGTAAATTTATCAAAATACATGTATAGCTTCATTTGGAAGGGGTTGATGATTGAATGGATAGGAGCTAAGCAATATGACTTATATGTTTGCAAATTGGCTATAAAAATTTAACTTTATTGATAATTGAAATTAGGTTAGATCATATGATGTTAGATACTTTTTAGTGGCTCTCTTCCTTGATATAAATTTTAAATAGATAACAGCACTGTATGACCCTGGTGGGATTGGCACTTGGTTTTGATTATAATAATTAGATGGATTTAATTATATATAATAGGGCTTTAAGATATCTATAGTGTTAAAGTTGCCTTCTAGGATTGAGGGCACCTTGATGCTGGTAAAGGGCTCTGTCTGAGGCATTGGGACCTACACTACCTTTCCTCAGATCAAACCTGACGACTCCCACACTTCACTTTCCTCAGGCACTGTGCGAGCCTTACGAGTAGGGATGGGGCAGTACCAAAATTTTTGCCAATACCATTAAAACTAACCCACACCCGCTGATATAAAAATGAGCTGATAACCGATATTGGTACCTATACTTAATTTTTGGCCGATACCGATACCCTCAAAATTAGCTAATACACCCCAGCTCAAGAGTCCAGTAAATCCATTTGAATAAAATTGTTTCAAGGAAATTTTATTAAATTTATATATATATATTTTTTTTTTTTTTTTGTTATTCCCCCCTTAAAGGAAAAAAAGACAATTTATTTGCTTTAATTATAGCACTTTGTGGAAGAATGTATGATGGTAGAATAAAATATTTTCTGAAATCTTTTATCTTATCCTTCATTGACAATTTTTTGTTTCCTTGATAAGAAAACCCTATTCTAAGCCTCTGACTTGCAAAAAGGTGTGTGTGTGTGTGTACTCACCTAATTCTAGTTGCAAGGGTCAAGTTATAGCTCCTGGCCCCACCTCTTTACTAGTCATTAATAGGCCCACTCTCTCCCTGCTCCATGAGCTTTATTAACCCTCTTCCTACAGCTTTGGCATCTGCCTCCACTGCCTCACTTTCCATGTGTCTGTGTGTGTACTTGCCTATTTGTGGTTGCAGGGGTCTAATCATAGCTCCTGGCCCTGCCTCTTCACTGACTACTACTGGGTCCTCTCTCTCTCCCTGTTCCATGAGCTTTATCAAACCTCGTCTTAAAATTATGTATGGTTCCCGCCTCCAATACGTCACTTTCTAGGCTGTTCCACTGCCTGACAACTCTGAAGAAATACTTCCTAACATCCCTTTGACTCATCTGAGTCTT